TTTCCTTCACAGTCTTTCAAAAAAAAAAAAATTTAATAATGGCTGAAGAGTTATTGAATAGCTACGATAATGATTAATGGAAACAAACAAGACTGGGAATAAGATGTGGTACATCTGTTTTGATCAGTGCAGCAACAACAACAACGACGACGACAAGAAAAAAAATATTCAATTTAGTCTTGCAATTCAAGGCTGTCTCCAGGAGATGAATCATCTGTGATTGTGGTGGGTCTGCACAGAACACGGCGTAGATCTGAATCTGATAAAAATGTTTCCCATGCACTGCAAGTAACATAAAGGGATAAACATAAGGGAACGTAAACCATATAAAGCAGCACAAGAGTGCAATAAACATCCTAAAGTCAGACGGAAGATTCTGAAGGTCTCTTGCTGGCCTCAACAATGCAAAGGCAAATCTGTACAACTGTTCACAGCAGTAGCTCAATACCACGTTTCAGTCGTCAGATTCATTTACATTGTGACTCTGCCTTAGATTTAGTCAACTGTGCTTTAGATGTATTCATCTGTTTCTGTAAAGGTGTATGGCCCACAGAAACTGATTTGTGCAATGCTGTTTCTTTGTCATTCACACCAAGTAGAAAACAGGGTAGATCGATCTCCTGTGGGAGGCCCTAACAGTTTTCTATTGTTTGTAGCCCATCATGTATAAAGTTCTGTCTCTGGGTTAAGATTGTTGAAGGGTGTCATGCTAAAATCACTGCTACACTACATTTCTTCTCCCCACAAGATTACTTATGTTATGTATTGGCGAAATAGAATACATTGGGGAGCCACCAAACACACCAAAATCTAATAAAGTGCATACATGATTCATTGTAAAATGTACTGCCATATGTCATAATACAGTCATGTGAAAAAGAAAGTACATCCTTTTGGAAAAAAATAATAATTTTTGTATTTGGTTGCACTGAGTATTTGCTGCATATATGTTGTTAAACTGATGAAGATGTTTTCTTAATTTACTCTTTTGTTTTTTTACTGTTTGCATGTTTTCTTCTGTTTCAATGCGTTGATCTCTCGGCCAACGTATTTTTGTTCATTTTTGTATCTCATTATTTAAGCATGCCACATACACTTCTTTTTTTAAATTGCATAATTGCATTATTTTTTGTAACATTTTAATTTATTGCTGTCTTTTTATTATTCATGTATTGTGACACTGTAAAAATGTTCAATTCAAGATTTGTTATCACAACATATTTTCTTTTGTTGAATCAACTTTATAATAATTTAGTTGAGATAACTTTTTTTTGAGTTTCTGATGATTAAATTAATCCGCCAAGGAGGAAATACATCAGCAATGATCTTCGAGAAGCAATTTTTGCAAGAGTAAGAAGGCCATTTCCAATCAACTGTAAGTCCACCATTCTACAGTAAGGAAGATTATTCACAAGTGGATAACATTCAAGTCAGTTGCCAAGGAGTGGACGTCCACTTCTCAGGAATGGACGTCCCAGCAAATTATTAAATATGAGGCCATCTGTCCGACAGCTAAAGCTTGGCCGAAACTGGGTCACGCAACAGAACGTTCAGACTGTTAACTCTGTGACAAGTGTAGCCTATTTCAAGACAAAGACTGCATCCGTCAAGGATTATGAATTTCGAGTTGTTGATTATATACATTTAGTTACAGTTATACGTTATTGCAGATATACTCATTATTTAGTTAATTGTCAGGTAAAAACAGATTATTCATATTTTATTAAGCAGGGATGTATTCAACTGATCAAAAGTGACAGTAAAAACATGTACAGTATAATGTTACAAAGATTTTTTTTTAATTAAAATGTTGTTTTTGAACGTCCTAATCGAATCCTGAAAAAAACATTTTCCACAAATTTTTCGTCTTTTTTCATTTCGACAAAACTATTAACTGTTTTCAAAACTTATAATAATTAAATAAAAGTTTCTTGAGCATCAAATCAGCATATTAGAATGATTTCTAAAGGATAATGTAACACTAAAGACTGGAGTAATGATGCTGAAAATTCAGCTTTGCCACGAGAATAAATTACATTTGAAGATATTTTTTTTAAAATAGAAAAATATTATTTTAAATTGAAATAATACTCCACAATATGACAGTTTTTAATAGGGATGCACCGATATGAAAATTTTTGCCGATACCGATAACCGATAATTCTTTATATTTGAAAGCCGATAACCGATATATCGGCCGATAAATTTTTATCTAATTTTGAGAGCCTGATTACAAATACAAAAGTCTCACAATTAAATCCATGTCCCAAGCGCACAATTATAATGATGTTCTCATGATAGTGTTGTATAGCCGATATGACAGATTTTGCGCTGCACATGTTGTACCGAACCGGATTTTCATTTTTCGAAGAGATTTCAATCATTTTTCAAGAAATTCAAAAACATAAACAGTGCTCAACAAGCGTCTCATCTGAAGGGAATAATACATTATTTATCGGTTTTAATATATCGGCCACATTTTCTTACCAGTCCGATAACAATAACATTAAAAATGAACATATATCGGCCGATACCGATATGCTGGCCTATATATCGTGCATCTCTAGTTTTAACTGTATTTTTTATCATAATAAATGGAGCCTTGGTGAACATTATAAAAACTTCGGTAACACTTTACAATAAGGTGCATTTACTAAACATTAGTTACCTATATCCTTATACCCTTCCTCCGTTTTAAAACACCCCCACAGCTAAACCTACACTACTGTCACCCACAAAGCAGCAAACTTCAATTTAAAAATACATAAACATAAGCATATACAAATAACCCTGCTTGCATTGCATTCACACAGATACATACAATCCAGATACATGCTATCGGCAGGTTTGCACAGATGTTTAAATACACACACACACAGCAAGCAGAAACCCTCATCTTGTCAGGTTGGCATGATGCCAGCGGCAGCTCCCTGCCTGTGCCATCAAATCAGTGCGAGTGAATGGACACACACACACACACCCCAAAAAACAGAGCACAGGATGGCATCTCACAGTGTGAGCTGTTACCAAATACACAAAGTCACACTGACAGGACGCGTCTTTACAGCACACACACTGCATCTCTCAAAAGGTTATGGAAGATAATACACCTATACAATCATGAAATATATTTTCTTTTTTAAATTAAAAAGTCCACTATTCCAGTATAATAATCCAGAAATTAAGCCAAAATGGGGGTCAACATTAAAACAGAAGCAAACTCAACTGCTTTTGTATCCTCAATATGTTCTGAGTAAGGGAAAAAAATCCACAAAGAATCCCATTAGGGGAAAGTTTCAACCTATTCATTATTTTTCTCATGTGAATAGAGTAAAAATTGAGATGTTGATTTTGATTTTGAGTTGATTACTTGCATCAAGACAAAGAAAAAATGTATTAGAATTTTTCTTTTTAAATGTATGCATGCAAATTAGCACATATGTAATTTGCTTATGCACCGTTTGCTCATGTTAACAAACAATTTCACAAAACTTGTAATACATTTTTTGTCTTGATGCAAGTAATCAACTCAATTTTCATGATGATATCTAAACGCTAAAAATGTTTACCCCATTTACGAGAGAAAAATAACGATTAGGTGAAAGAATAGGCTATAATTTGGGTCTTTTTCTAAACTTTCCCCTCTGGGCTTTTTTCTTTCCCTTACTCAGGATACAATCTCAGTTGAGTTTGCTTCCGTTGCAATTTGTTCAACCTTTTTTCATAATATGACTGGACTAAGGTATCTATGTCAGATTCCCGTAGCTTAGCAACAGTGTTTCATAAACCAGTTGAGCAGGAAGTCTGACTAGGAAACATCAAGGAGTGACTGTGCCGCCACGTTTCACCTCCCATGCTCCTCTGTTCAAGCACTAGAGCAGTTCTGGGTTCACTCACTGGCGCAAGAGAGAGTACAAATTAACATCAAAGTGCTCATATCAGAATTGTTTTCCCTCCTAAAGGTCCACTAATAATGTAATGTTAATCAAGGTTTATGTCATATGCACTGAGCTAAATAGAATGACTGGATAGCTAATGACATCATAAAAATCAATAACGCAGGGTTTCCATTGGTTGGTCCAGTTGTGCCGTCCCGTCCCGCAGTCACATGATTATTATTATTTTTTTAATGCGCATTGAGGAATTTATTCTGTAAATGTGTTTCCATTGTATTTTACGCACACATGTGTTTTTTATGTATGCTTTTACAATTTATGCACTACATGGTGTTTCCATCCAGCATGTGATTTCCTAAAATGAGCATAAAAATAGGTGGAAATGGACTCCAGGGTTTCACTGTAATACGGTAGGGGTGTTGTTACGGATCTTCTAGAATAGTACAGTATATCTGGATACAAAAACAAGTGCATAAACAAGGAGGAGTGATATTGCTTGTGCACAAGTAAGCTAACATGATCCCCAAACATTCAACAACATTTAATTTAAAACTGCCTGGTGATATAGCGGGAAAAAATGTCGAAACCAACAAATGGTTACATTGATGGACTAGATCTACTCTGTCTATGTTGATTATATGGGTGGAATACGATCTGAACGAGGTCTTTGACAAAACGTATTGATCAAATTCATCATCATCATAGCTGTGTTTTTACAAGCAGAGGCTCTGTTCTTTCTTTTGACACATTTACTTTTTATGTATGCAGACAACAAAATATTCTGGAGGCAATAAAAGTTTTATCAATATGGTTAAAAATGCAGGCTCTGGCTGGCAACTTACAAATTAAATGCGTTAATAGGTTAATTAAAATCTTAAAAGTATAAAAAAAATACTCCCAACACAGGGGTTGAGTGAGTTTGGGACATAATACTCAGGAAACCATCTTATTAGTTTCTTTAATTTATTAGTAGAGTAAAGAATGTTAAACCCAAACACCAATTCATAATAAATGCGATCTTTGGGAAGACAAACGTCTAGATTAAACTATTAATATCACTGAAGAACCCCTTCTTTTTAGGTTAAGAACATTAGCAGGACAAACCTCATTCCTTCAGTAGATTTGTTCTGGTAGTTGCAATAAAGCTGTGGTGTTCCCAGCATGGCCTCTGTGAACACAGCAAGGAAACCCAGGGTCTCTACGAACAGAACCGATTCCAGAAGCAGGTACGTTACGTAGGTGGCCAGCACGGTGAACGCCAGCACACACTGCAGGTAATCCACAAAATGACTCCAAAACCAGAAGTGGCTCCAGTCAAAGTCTAGAATTCAGAAAGAAAGAGAGTATTAAAAAGTAATCAGTGCATGAAAAACTTCAATTCGTATTGGTTGAAAGAAGTAAACTTGACATTTCTGGAAGTATTTTGGGAGATTATTTTGAGTTCTGAAGGGTAAGTATCAGTGTTGTAGTCGAGACCACCTCACTCGAGTCCGAGTCAAGACCGAGTCCATAGAGAGTCGAGTCCGAGTCCAGACCGAGATCAGAGAGAGTCGAGTCCGAGTCAAGACCGAGTCCATAGAGAGTCGAGTCCGAGACCAGAGACGGTCGAGTCCGAGTCCAGACCGAGATCAGAGAGAGTCGAGTCCGAGTCAAGACCGAGTCCATAGAGAGTCGAGTCCGAGTCGAGTCCGAGACCAGAGACGGTCGAGTCCGAGTCAAGACCGAGATCAGAGAGAGTCGAGTCTGAGTCGAGTCCGAGACCAGAGACGGTCGAGTCCGAGTCAAGACCGAGTCCATAGAGAGTCGAGTCTGAGTCCAGAGACGGTCGAGTCCGAGTCAAGACCGAGATCAGAGAGAGTCGAGTCTGAGTCGAGTCCGAGACCAGAGACGGTCGAGTCCGAGTCGAGACCGAGATCAGAGAGAGTCGAGTCCGAGTCAAGACCGAGTCCATAGAGAGTCGAGTCCGAGTCGAGTCCGAGACCAGAGACGGTCGAGTCCGAGTCAAGACCGAGATCAGAGAGAGTCGAGTCCGAGTCAAGACCGAGTCCATAGAGAGTCGAGTCCGAGTCGAGTCCGAGACCAGAGACGGTCGAGTCCGAGTCAAGACCGAGATCAGAGAGAGTCGAGTCTGAGTCGAGTCCGAGACCAGAGACGGTCGAGTCCGAGTCAAGACCGAGTCCATAGAGAGTCGAGTCCGAGACCAGAGACGGTCGAGTCCGAGTCAAGACCGAGATCAGAGAGAGTCGAGTCTGAGTCGAGTCCGAGACCAGAGACGGTCGAGTCCGAGTCGAGACCGAGATCAGAGAGAGTCGAGTCCGAGTCAAGACCGAGTCCATAGAGAGTCGAGTCCGAGTCGAGTCCGAGACCAGAGACGGTCGAGTCCGAGTCAAGACCGAGATCAGAGAGAGTCGAGTCTGAGTCGAGTCCGAGACCAGAGACGGTCGAGTCCGAGACCAAAGACGGTCGAGTCCGAGTCGAGACCGAGATCAGAGAGAGTCGAGTCCGAGTCAAGACCAAGTCCATAGAGAGTCGAGTTCGAGACCAGAGACGGTCGAGTCCGAGTCGAGACCGAGATCAGAGAGAGTCGAGTCCGAGTCAAGACCGAGTCCATAGAGAGTCGAGTCCGAGTCGAGTCCGAGACCAGAGACGGTCGAGTCCGAGTCGAGACCGAGATCGGAGAGAGTCGAGTCCGAGTCAAGACCAAGTCCATAGAGAGTCGAGTCCGAGACCAGAGACGGTCGAGTCCGAGTCCAGACCGAGATCACAGAGAGTCGAGTCCGAGTCAAGACCGAGTCCATAGAGAGTCGAGTCCGAGTCGAGTCGGAGACCAGAGGCGGTCGAGTCCGAGTCGAGACCGAGATCAGAGAGAGTCGAGTCCGAGTCAAGACCGAGTCCATAGAGAGTCGAGTCTGAGTTGAGTCCGAGACCAGAGACGGTCGAGTCCGAGTCGAGACCGAGATCAGAGAGAGTCGAGTCCGAGTCGAGACCATAGAGAGTCAAGTCTGAGTCGAGACCGAGACCAGAGACGGTCGAGTCCGAGTCGAGACCGAGATCAGAGAGAGTCGAGTCCGAGTCGAGTCCAAGACCAGAGACGGTTGAGTCAGAGTCGAGACCGAGACCAGTGAGGGTTGATTACCTAATTTACTTTTATTTACTTAGAGAAATCCTTTTTTTTTTTTTACTGAATTTACTTAGAGTTAAAAAAATATGATCAGTTTAGGGTAAAAAGGCCACATAGTAGGTGGTGTTAAAAGTAATTTTATTACAATTTGTCATGCGCAGTTGCGCACTAGAAAATCACCAATCACTGGGCGTGTCAATCAATTTAAAGAAATATTTTATTAACATACATTAATAATCCTGAAAAATATTTTGAATTGAACCCGAGTGGACTCGGGAATAAGTCCGAGTCCTAAAAAAAATGTTCGAGTACGAGTCAATTCCAAGTCCAAATGCACACGAGTCCATGACAAGTCAAAGACCATTAAAATATGGTCTCGAGACCGAGTCCGAGTCTCGAGTACTACAACACTGGTAAGTATTTTCAAAATACTCAGATCTTCTTTAACAACGAATGAAATCATTTTGTTTTTCATTTTCAAGTTCCTCTTTCAGCAATATGTTTTGTAGAACACTGAAAACAATGGAGATTAATGATTATATTAGTATGGATGGAGGGTTGAATCAATGTCAGATCAAGTTCAGACCAGAGATCTTCTAAGACCGCCTCAACATCGTAAAGGAAGAGCTTTGTCATGATCATCCAATTCCCAGCATTCAGAGAACTCCACAGGGTTGAGTCTGACTGGTCTCTGACCCCAAATAATCCACTTTTGGTTATTATTTTGGCCTTGTGAAACTCAAAGATCTCAGAAGCCAGCAAGTCATCTCTCCACACGAGAAGAGCGTGTCTAATCAAAGCACACTGGGAGCTTCAACAACAGTTACTATAATTAAGCGGCAATGGAAATGTCGAAGCGACAAAGTGCAAGCGGAGGCCAAAATGGAAGCACGAGGACCACAGAGACGACAAGAGTGTCATGAAGATGTCAGGGCAAGCTAAAGCGAAGAGAATGACAAAAGAGCACGGCTGGGTTTCGACTGGACTGAAGCAGGGGAAAACACACACATTCAGTGAATAACTGAAGGGCTGGATTAGGAAAACATGATCCCAGCAATTCATTGCTCGGTGCGCATCTCTTCGGATGCCAGCTGTGCTCACAAAACATGATGAAGAGGGGGCGGCACGGCTTAGATTCAAGAGTGTTTGGGAAAACTGTTTTGGTAAAGCATTTTACATCCAAATCTCTGCCTCAGTATATACACAATCTTTGTTTACTCCATTCAAAGCACTAGATTAGTTATCTACACTAAAGCCCCTTTTCCACCAAAGCATTTTAAATACAGCCAGACCGATATATCGGCAGGCCGATATTATCGGCCGATATTAGCCATTTCCCAAACTATCGGTATCGGCAGTTATATTGGCCGATAAATTAGTATTTCAAAAATAAAATAAGAACGGACGAAACACGCTTGAACCATGTCATGAGTGTTGTGTAGTTTGTTCACCAGAGGGCACTCTACACCATTCCTGTTGGCAACACTCGTTGAGTTGGTCACGATAAATACAATGATTAAATAACAATTCGGTCGCTCTAATTTTGAGAGCCGGTTCGGAGCCGGTGCCTGCGCGCGAACCAGTTATTTATGTTTCGACAGCCAAAGAACCGGTTCTCGGTCAGGAGAACTGGATCCAAAGCGGCACCAACTCTTTGCTGGAATAGAACCGTTCTTTTACCACGTCATGCTTACGTCGGGGTTTAGATGTGTCCTAAACATCTTTTCTGACCATAATAAAGGATCGCAAGGCCAAGAGAAACATTTGCAGAAATACGATGGAGTCCGCCTTTGTAATTGTTATGCTTGAAGTTAACGCAAGCGTTTCTATTTTTGTCATTTTTTTTATTTAAGACATTATAATCAAAGAAGAAAAGTTATTACAGGGGTACATAACTTATCAGAAAAGATTACATATCCAAACGAAAAGATTAAAAGACTTACATATTTCAATTGTTTTTAAAGCTTTCTTGGTACACGAGTTAGAGATAATCCGAAAGTAATGTTATATTTGCGTTTCTAGCTAAGACGTATGGCGACGTGCACAGTGACGTAACGACGTCGTTCCCTGGGCGCTCTAGTCAGTGGAAAAACAAACTGAAGCGTTCAAGTTGAACCAACTCCGAACCAGCACCAGGTCTGAACCAGTTCTTTTTTTGGTGGAAAAAGGGGTATAAGAGGACCAGTCACCACAACTTAAAGGGGGGGTTTACTGTTTTTCTTTGCATGATTGTGTTTAGAGGGTGCAATTTAACATGTATTCACGGATTTTCTTATTTTTTCATAAATTTCACCTTTATTGTAAGACACTTTCTCCTCTGTTATTTGAACGACCGGTTTACATCCCGAGTCTATGAAACTACTTCCTCAGAAACAGGCAGTGGGCTCAGATTGGTTAGTTTGGGCCGGTGGGTTGTGATTGGCTAAACTGTAGTGCACGTTGTCCGGATACTTAACATCCATTACCTTTACAGGCGAAAGTTGCATGTGTTCCTGTCAAATGTAAATAATGGTGTCCAACTGCAGTATCAGTATGAGTCAGAATCAGACAAAGAAAGCGGCGATGAAGAGATTCAAGCAGAACCTCACCACACACGGCTCTTACTAAACGCTTCTGAATGGTACATTTGCCTACTATGTTTGCATCGTGCATCAACAATAGCATATAGCATCGAACTAACTGGCTACTATATACACAAACAGCGTTGGCACTTGTTTATGTTCTTGATCAAATCGAAAATAACGTCATAAAGTATATATATATATATATATATATATATATATATGAAAAATATATTTACAACATTAGTGCATATAACTAAGTGGCTATCAAGCCAGCGCTGGCATTTGATAAAACTAAAACTTTACGTCTGGAATTATACATGCAATTACATTTAAAATGATGAAGTCTTAGCCTACTTACAGGTTGTGGCCCAACAACTGCTGCCTCTGGTTTTAAAGTTGGAAATGCTTCATGTTTTAGTAACAGTTTCTTGTTGAATCCGGCTTTGAACTCGTGGGGACAGAGAGCTAGATTACGATCGTCATTTTCGGGAACATAATCAAACATAAATTGTATCCATTGTTGACGAAGTACAGCGTCCGTGGGAAGTTCGAACACAGAAGACCTGACAGCTGCGTGAACAACACCCTCGACAAGCCGCAGAAATGCCCTTTTTTGCATTTTACAGAGGGAGGGTT